TCTCTCGCGGAAGCAAAACCGTGACTCTCGCGAAAGGAAAAAACAGAAAACGTGTTTTTTCCGTTTCCGAGAGGCACGGCCGTGACTCTCGCGAAAGCAAAACCGTGCCTCTCGCAGAAGCAAAATCGTGACTCTCGCGACAAAAAAATAAAACACTTTTTTTCGCACAATTTTTTTTATCGAAAAGCTAAGGAAGACTGGTGGAAAACCAAAACGTCGAAAAAACCCGTTTAAAAAGCCGAAAACGCGTGCGGAAAAATAAAAAAACAAAATCCGAAGGGAACACCCAGAGCACGACACGTGGCGAATGACCGAGAGCGCGCCAAGTGACGCTGATCGTTGCGAGGCTCCCGAAGAAGTGCTCGTTAACTAGTTGCCCCCCCTAGCAACCTTCTTCTGTTAACCCGTTAATGCCCGATTGGTGGGCCGAGTTACGCGGCTGATTTCACTATAGGCCTTAATTACAATATGTTAGTAAAATATAATCATTAAATTCTGTTTTTCAAAACAATCGATAAACATAGTGCTTTGAAATCTATGAAAAATAATCATGTATATTACAAAAATATTTGCTTGTCCAATGAAATGTGCATTCACCCTCATAATTTTTTAATCTACTCCTAAAAAATGAGTGATAAAAAATGGTTGCTGTCTATTAAGACATCTCACGTCTATCAAATCAATTGTTCATATATGTGAAATAAAAAATTAATTCTACTTCTAAAATGCGTTTCGGGATATGTATAACCAAAAACTCACTCAACTTTTGAAAAAATCTTATGGTATACAAAATTGTCCTATATAATTTTAAATCACTAGATATATTTTACGTTCAATGGTAAATGTTCATGTATGCATAATAAAATGTGCATCTTCTTACTAAATATGTACAAAGGGATTCACCAAAAAAATGTTGAACTTGTTTTGTCGTCCATGAAACATGTTAGTGTATTATCAAAGAGTAAATTATTACTTCATATTAAAAGAAAAAATGTACAATATTTTTAATTAACCAGATTCAAATAGTAAAGAAAATATGGTCAAATAATGGTAAACAAGCTTTGTCGTCCAGGAAACATGTCAATTATATACAACGGAATATAAGATTACTATATAGTCTTTAGCACTTTTCATTAACTCAATTCATATTGTGTAAGAAACTAATGCAAGAAATAATTCAAATACAAAATAAAACAAGGTAAAATGAATATAAAATAATCCAAGAGAAATTTTTTTCCTTAAAATATAACCTAACCAAATTAACATATGACATGAAAGGGAGAAAAATAAAGGCACACAAAATATAAGAGCTTTTTCCTTTTTTTGGAAGAACAAAAGAGTAGACATGATGTAAAGCAAAATAAGTAGGTGCCATAAAAAGAAAGTAAATTGAAACAAAAATGAAGTGCAGTAAAGATAAAATTTACCAGTCCCAGTCACAATTTTTTTAAACCCCAGGCATCGGATTCGAGTCGTAGAACTGCGTGCGGGTTCAATCTAATCCCTTCTGATATTCAATGTACAAAATGAACACAATGTATCTCCCCTGCGAACATCATACGGTTGTCGATACCGGAAAGCTAGCCAATCAAGGTCGTGCTTGAGAGGAAGTAGCTACGGTGATTTTCCTAGAGGTAGAGGTACCAAGTATCTCAAGTTGCTAGAATTGAATCATTTTTAAAAACTATATTTTATGAACTGTATAAGGTTACTATATATTAACAAAAATCATGCAGTTTTAAAAAAATAGAGTCAAATTGTAAACACAAATCATTTAAAAATTAAGAAAGCAGGAAAGTGAAACACAAACAAAAAATCAAAGAGAAAACAATTTCTTAAAATGTAACCCAAGAAAAATAACATAAGAGTGGAAAGGGAAAAAATAAAGCCGAAAAATAGTAGAGATTTTTCCTTTTTCGCACAAGGACAAAAGAATAGACATGATGAAAAGGAAAATTAAGAAAAATCATTAGGAACCCGAAAAAGAAAGTAAATGGAAACAAAATCAAAGAGCAACAAACATATAATTTGCGAGATCCTGTGTCCATGAGATTAACCTAAGACCATTTTTTCCGAATGACAGGCATTGAATTTGAGTCACAGAAGCAAGTGAGGTTCTAGTCTCCTTAGTTGTTGAAATTAAAAAGATAAAGACATAACCCATGTATCTCCCCTGCCATACGGTTGTCAAGACCAATGAATGCAGGCAACCAACGCCATGCTTGAGAGAAAGAAGCTACAGTGATATGCCCAGAGCCAGAGGTACACAAATATCTCAAGCGTGAGAATCGAATCATTTGAAAAAATATATATTTTATTAACTATATAAGATTACTATATATTAACAAAACACATTCACACTATTTTCTAACTAGAGTCAAATTGTAAACATAAATTATGTAAAATTTTGAATAAATATGAAACTAAAACATAGAAAAGAAGAAAAAAAGAAAAGAATCCAAGAGAAAAATAATTTCCTTAAAATGTAACCCAATAAAAATAACAAAAGACAGGAAAGCTAAAAATACTAACGGCAGAGGATTTTTTTTAGAGATTTTCCTTTTTTTGCGCAAGGATAAAAGAATAGATATGATGAAAAAGAAAACTAAGAAAATAATTAGGAAGCCAAAAAATAAAGTAAATGTTAACAAAAACGAGAGCAAAACTATAAAATCTTGCCAGACTCAGTGTCCATAAGATTAATCGAAGGCCCATTTATTTTTTGAATAACTTGCATTGGAGTCGAGTGGTAGAACTGGGCAGTGGTGGACCCAGGAAAACAGTAGGCCCCAGGCCAGCTTCGAAGTGCTGTAGCAACAACGATGTACAGTCAACGAAGGGAATCGCCGTCACGCCCCAGGCAGCCGGCCTAAGGGTGTGTTTGGTTGGCGTCCACACCACCACAAGCCTGGCCTGGATGGGTGCCTGAAGCATGTCTGGTCCCTGTTTTGTTTGTGTCCTGAGCAAGAAAGTACATGCCTGGCCTGGATTGCTCAGCAATGTGATTAGCCTGGCCAGGTTGAGAAAAATAAAGAAAAAAAAAGATTCCTAGCCCAGGCAGTAGGATTAGCCTGGCCCAGGCGTCCAATTTCTTATGCCTGGGCGTGCCACAGCAAGCCTGGCCTTTGCTTAAGAATTTTTTATTCGCTGGATGACTAGATGATGCAATACCCTGCCAGGGTACGAACCAAACGCACAGCTGCCAGGCTAGCCTGGGCAGGCAGGAAAGCATCACGTTACCAGGCGAATGCCAGGCACCGGATTTTTCCAGGCAAGGAGCCGAGGATTCGAACCAAACTAGCCCTAAATCCGCCTCTGGAACTGGGTAAGGTATGAGTCTCCTTGGCTGCTGAAATTCAGAAGATACAAAGAGAATGCAATTTATCTCCCTTCTCCCCTTTGCTGCCGTACACGCAAAGCAGCACAAGAGCTGCATGGTAGCAGTTATTGAGTACCACCTGGGCTAAAATATGAGGCACATACATACAATTTAATAAAACATACAACCTTTGGTGACGACGAAGAGATCATATATGTGTGACGGATGAAAATTTCAGAGAAGAGCACCATTCTTTATTGTTAATAGGTACATATAGAGACAATAGGAGAGATGAGAAGACTAGAGTGAAATTGTAAACAAAAATCATGTAAAAATAAATAATATACTAAAATATAACACAGATAAAGAGAAAAAGAAAATAATCCAAGAGACAATTTCCTTAAAAGTAACCTAACAAAGATAACATAAGACGAGAAAGAGGGAAAAGCTAAACCCAGGATTAGAGCTATTTCCTTTTTTTTTTTGCGGAAGGACAAAAGAATAAGAATAGGCATGATGAGAAGAACAACTAAGAAAAATGATTAAGAACCCGAAAAAGAAAGTAAATAAAAACAAAACGACGAGCAACAAACGTAAACTTTGCCAGATCCAGTGTCCATGAGAGGTATCAAAGTCCCATTGTTTTCTTAATGCCAGGCATCGGATTCGAGTCCATGAGATTGATCTAATTCCCATTTTTTGTAAATGCCGGGCATCGGATTCGAGTCGCAGAACAGGGCAAGGTTTCAGTCTCCTTGGCTGCTGAAATTCAGAAGATAGAGAGAGAACGCAATGTATCTCCCTTGCCATGCCCATACGGTTGCTGAGACCGAAGAAACCAACGAACCAGCCAACGCCGTGATGGAGAGAAAGCAGCTAGGGCGATACGCCCAGAGCCAGATCGAGGTACACAAATATCTCAAGCAGCGGGCGGGAATCGAATCGTTTGAAAAAGCCCTCCTCGGGGTCACACGAGCAGAGCAGCAGCCGGAGGAGGGAACCGGAATCAACCGATAGATTGCTGTATCCTGGACCCCCTGTCGGCTGTTCCTGTTCCTAGTGTGAACATGTATCTTCCGGTCCAGGCGCTTCCTTGCGATCGAAGATTTATCTGCCCGCCGGCCGGCCAATCTTTCCTCCCCGGAGAGAACCTGATTCCCAACTGACCCTGATGATTTCACACAGTGTTGGGCAAGGAATATCGGACAGAGCAGCCGTCCTGAAAATCTAGTCAGAAAGCGCCGCCTCTGACGCGGTGCTTTGCATCTCATCTCATCTCATCTCAAGCCTTGGACTTCTCCGGCCGCCGATCAGGCCACCAAACCCATGGGCGGACGTGTCAATCCCGATCCTTTGTACGTGTGCCTATCCGCTCAACCAACCTCGGCTATTCGAGGAGTGCTCGCTTTCGACTTGTCAGCTAATAAAGGTGGTGCTGAGGCAGAATCGAATCAAATTACTTGTCAGCGACTGCGCGGTGCGGTGTCAAAAGTTGGGGGAGAAGCTTCCGTGCTCTGCCTCTCTGTGTGTGCTATCCGTGTGCCTGAGCCTGACACCAGTGCGGCTGGCGTGTATATATAGAGGGTGCTGGAGTTGGAGACAGGTATCCATCAGCAGATCAGCTGAATCCGATCGACAGCACAGCACAGCAGAAGCAACTCGTAGCCAGAGGACATACCTGATGGAGAACAACAGGAGCAACCAGCAGGCTCCTCCACCACCGCCAGGTATTGGTGGATCTACGCTACGGACTCGTTGGGGTTCAGCTCCCTGAAATCTTCAGATAGATGAACTTGTTGCTGCTTTCGATTTGTTCATTCGTTGGTGTTGGTGTTGCAGGGTACCCAACGGCGGCTGCGGAGCAAGGCCAAGCGGGCGGGAAGAAGGGGGGCCGGGCGAGCACCAAATCCAGGGGCGAGAAGGGCTTCATCGAGGGGTGGTACGTACTCCCCACCACCAGCTACTCCATCCATCGACACCACCTCCTTAACTGTCGTTTGTGATTTCCGGCCTGACAGTGTCTGAATTTGGTGTGTGTGTTTTCAGCCTGGCGGCGCTGTGCTGCTGCTGGATCTGCGAGATGTGCTGCGACTAACCGGCCGGCGACGGCGAGGTTCCTGGCACAAGGCCTCGGTGCTATCGTACCCACGAGGAGCGTATGCGTATACAGAGAGAGAATTGTTCTTAATTTCAGTGCCCGTTGTTTTAGGTTCTACATATATACTCCTAAGGTGATGCACGCATGATCAGTACTGTACCCGCCTACCTGTGTGCGTGTGTGAGATATTTCATGTATCCGTCCGTGTGCAGTGCCATATTCATGCACCGCGTCGTGTGTAATTAACCGGTGTGTACGAGACCGATATACTACTCAGTAATACTGTGATTGAGTATTTGATTTGAGGGTGCTTCCACTGCGTATTATTCACCCATTTGCATCTTCTTACTCTAGCATCATCGGGCCCCTTAAAAAAACAAAGAATCCTTTGAAAATTCTCTATTCCCTCCGTCCCAAAATAAGTGTCTCAGAGCAACTCCAACGGGGCGACCCAAACAGACGCGCACTTTGTTCGTTTTTTGTCCGTTTGGATCGGCCAGGCGAACGTGCGTGTCCATATTTTAAAATGGGTCAGCTTGACCGCCCAACGGGGAGGCCGGCCCAAAGGTGTCGCCGTGGGGAAAAAATAATACTCCCTCTGTAAACTAATATAAGAGTGTTTAAATCACTAAAATAGTAATCTAAACACTTTTATATTAGTTTACGGAGGAAGTAAGTTGCAAGAAATAAACATAAATAAACATAATTAAACATGAAGTGGCCGGTCAAACGCCGGCCAAAGTCCACCTAAATCTAATAAACATAAAATACAAAATTAAAAAAAGTCTGTGCCCGCCTACTGCCGCCCGGCACGCTGCCCTAGACGTCGTCGGCCTTACTCTTGCCCTTGCCGTCGACGCCGCCGTCGTCGGTGAGGTTGATGAAGACCGGAGCAGGGCCAGCCCACCCAAGCGCCGCCTGGTACGCTGCCAGGGCAGCCTCCTCCGGCGTCTGCTGGGGCGGTGGCATTGCGGCAAGCCGCGCGCGCTCCTCCTCCTCCTCCTTGAGCCGGAGCGCCTCCGCGTCGCGTTGGAGCATGGCATCATAGCGCATCTGCTCCTCGCCGTCGGCCTGCTCCTGGCGGAGTCAGTGCTCCTTCCATCGCTCGAGGTGGGCCGCCTCCTCCTCCGGCGTCGCGGCGAAGTGGACGGGAGGCGCGCTCACCCACTCGCGGTACTGACCCGTTCACGAGTAGGCCTCCTCCGGCCAAGTGGGGAGAGGCGGGGAGCGCTTACGCGTCGGCTCCGGCTCCGGCTTCGGCTTGGGCTGGACGGGCGGCGCGGTGGCGGTGGCGGCACGAAGAGCGGGGTGTGAACAGAGTCCCCCGCTGCCGACAGGGCAAGGGCTTGCTCCAGCCCATCCCAGTGCGCGTCCTCCTCGAGGCGGCTAGCCTCCAGCGCGTGCTGCAGGGCCTCCTCGAGGGCGGCTTGGTACTCCGCCGCCGCCTCCATGTCCTCCGGCTCTACCTGCGGGGGCGGCAGTGGGAACGGCGGCAGGACGGCGTCGACACCCGAGCGCCGTTGCTCCTCGTGTTCGAGGGCGAACCACGCCTCCCAGTTGGGGGAGTCGGCGGCGTACTCTGGCAGCCGACGCTGCTCCGGCGTGAGCTGTGCGCGGCGCCTGCGCACCTCGTCGTCGTGCGCCCGTTGGGTACGAGGAACCGCCGGCACCGGGATCCGCTGCGGATCCAGATGCCAATGGTGCGACAGCGTGACATCGGGGTACGACAATGACTGCATGTACTCCCAGTGCCACCGCGCTTGGTGCACCGGGATGTGCAGGCGCCGGCGACCAGGGCGGAAACGCGTCGCCGTCGAAGGAGGAGGGGAAAGGGGAGCACGGGAGGATGAGGCGCCGGGGGTGCCCTTGCCCTTGCCCTTGCCATTGCTGCTGTCGAAGATGCCCATGGCT